TGTGTGTGTGTGTGCGTTTGTGTGTATGTCTGTATGAAATTTTTAAACCAACTTGCAATTATTGGAATTTACTATTATTATTTCGAAATTTCACATATATTCACCTATGTTCAGGCGGCTACATCTCCGGAACGGCTTTGAATATCGCCCTCAAATTTTTTTGTGTGTTCTTGGATGATATAGGAAGGATTTGACTGCACTTTGGGAGCAATCCAAGAAAGTCGGTTTTTTGACCCCCAAAGCTCAGAGGGCCACCTTAATAATAATAATGATAATAATAATATTAACTGGTTTGAGGGAAAGAGACAAACGGGAAGAGTCTGAAGAAAAAATTGACTGTCACCACCAGGACTCGAACCAGGGACCCTCGCTTGTAGCCAGCGATGCTCTAACCACTGAGCTATGGTGTAGTCGTCATCCCAGCAGAGACCGTTCAACGTTTTCTTCAGACTTCGTCACTCACACTTCCTGTGAATCCACACAGGCGGGTGGGACGCAGCCCTCACTGTAACCCACACACTTCACGTACAAACTAGCACGCGGGGAGCCCCAAGTCATAAAATATTAACTGGTTTGAGGGAAAGAGACAAACGGGAAGAGTCTGAAGAAAAAATTGACTGTCACCACCAGGACTCGAACCAGGGACCCTCGCTTGTAGCCAGCAGATAATAATTTTTTTATTTTTTTATTTCAGCCAGTCGGCTACTATCATTTTCGTCTTGGGTTTTTTTTTTTTTTTTTTTTTTTTTTTACAAAAAACCACAAACCATTTGATGGCACAAAGCAGCAAGGCAGCGATGAGACATATGGAATTAGACAAGGGGAAGTAGCCATGTCGGGGCATGAGCCCGCCTTTCGGCACCGGGAGTTGCAGCTCGCTCGACTTGACTCTACTGAGTGCAGAGGACCCACACCTTGATCTGGTGAGCTGCGTCGTGGGGATTTTGCAGTCAGATGTGCGACTGCGGGGCTCGAACCCGCGACCTCTCGGGTCGCTGGCAAGTGCAGTACCCAACGTACTACCGGGGAGCCCCCAAAATAATACATGTAGGGTGGTAAGACATTATTTTGAGGTGCTTGCATCAAACCAACTACATGTATGTTCTCTTTGACCCCCATGCTGCGTCAGAAGCAGTTGGTTTGCACCGGGGACGGCGGGGAGCCCTACACATACTAGAGAGGTTAAGTTTCACGTAAAAGTCTTACGTACGTCCGTGAACTAATTATTACTTAATACGTCAAAAAGTGAAAAAAAACTCACGTAAAATTTGACGTGTTTTACGTGAGTTGACTGTCCCGCACGTAAGTTCATGACGTGAGTTTTGGAAGTTTCGTTTGGTTATTCCGACCGAATTTGTGTGAGTTTCCGGAATTTTATCGAGTTTTATCGAGTTTGTTGGAAGATTTGATATTTGTGCGAACTAAACCCGAATCCTGCCAGGCAAAATTTCACGTCACGTCGCACGTGTAACTTAACCTCTAAAAATTACACATAACGTGAGATTTGCACCGCGTTTTGAAAAATTGCAAAAAACGTGTAACTTAACCTCTCTACTGCATGTACATGTACATGTACATGTACATGCACCATCAAGAGTATAACCTTCCTGGGAGGTTGTTACACTCTTGATGGTACCAAGACTGCAAGAGTCGCCAAGAGTATAATTATAAGGGGTTACATGTACACGACTGTATTGATGGTACATGTACCTGTACATTGTATCAAGAATATAGTACTCTTGATTGTACAAGCCTCTGGGTCATCCTAATAAAGATATTATTATTATTATGTGTAGGGCTCCCTGGTTTGCACAACTCCTGGAGCTAGCTGCATGCCTCAGGCGAGCAGAACTGAATGTAGTTTACAAAATAATAATCTCGTCAAACTCCAAAGAAATGCAGGTTGTCTGGTTGAAATTTTCGTCCATGGAAACATTCCAGTAAAAGGCTAACGTACATGTACATGTACATCAGTGGTAGATTGACATCTTTAGTCCTGATTCCTGAACTAAAAATAAATATTATTTGTTTTGTAACATGGAATGATTTGTCAATGAAACCCAGGGAGTCGTCAAATATTTGACGACTCCCTGATGAAACCTCTTCGGATGAAAATGACGAAATTAAATTCGCAACGAATCTTTCTGCTCCAATAATAAAGAGTAATATTCACCTACACAATATTCACCGTATTTGATAACATGTCATGTAATTAAAGCTTGAACTTTGAAGGCACACTTCTCAGTCTAGTACAGTACTACAACTGTCAGTACATTCTGATATGCAGCTATTACTAGTACAATGTAGTACCAAGAGTACATAACCCCCTGGGGGTTATGTACTCTTGGTATTACCGTAAAATCCCGCCAGAGCGCCCCGTCTCTCCCATCCGCCCCTCCCTGACTTCTTGTCAGGGACGTGATTGATTGTATCCTCGTATGACTCTGTCGCAGTCTGTGATGCCGTACTCTACTGCAGACGCGTGCTCAACCCCGTTGGAAATGTACAAGTTAGTGTTTAGTGTTATTTCTCTAACTTAGATTTTCTATAATAGTTCAATTTTTGTTTCAGTGTCCTTTAGTACAACGACGATTCCTGATGAGTGTTGTACGAAAACTTGTTTGAATCCCTTTCTTTCTCTACACAATTTCTTCACATTTTTCATCGTTTTATTGCACATTGTCTCCACAGTTTTACAATACATGAATACAGTGTACACAAATGTCGATCCAGCTTGTATTACTGATTGCGGTTATCAAATTGTTGTCTCCTCGCCGTTTGTTCAAATAATAATAATAATAATAATAATAATAATAATAATAATAATAATAATAATAATAATAATAGAGAGGTTCTGCAAAACGAAAATGTGTACGAACTTTCGCTCCACGTCACGAAGCGAGAAACTTCGCACGAACTTTCGCAACTTTGGACGCGAAACTTGCAGGGAACGCGAAATGAACTTTCGTAGGAAGTAAATTACTTTCCCTTTGCTGTAATCTCTGTGTGAAACTTGTGGAGTTGGAAATCTAGCTCCAGCACCGCAGAACTCTCAGCAGTATGCAGCGTGAGCAAGGCGTGTATGGTGGAAGTGAAAATACTTCTGTGACTCTTCAGCCACGTCTGGCTCTTGACACGGAGTCCTGAGAAATTTCTCACGAAACAGGTTTTACATTACTTTCCCTTTGCTGTAATCTCTGTGTGAAACAAACGAACGGGACGAAAACGACATGCACTTTAGACTTCAGGCTGCTCTGAAATCCCAAACGAAAGGCCGACATTGTCCACACTCGAGATCACCCAAAGAATGAAGCGAGTTTGATTCAAAATCAAAAAAAATGTTGGGGATCGTCTGAAGCATATTCAAGCGAGGTACAGTCGGGCTTGATGACTGATCAAAGCCCTCGGGCCCAGCCCTTGGCCTTGGGCCTACGGCCCTCGGGCTGGACCCTTGGGCTTTGATCAGCCATCAAGCCCTCTGTACCTCGCTTGATTATCTACATCAAGAGTCCATATGTAGACTCTTGTCTACATACACAAGAAAGTAGGGGGAACGGTGCAACTGCAAGTGTGAGTACCGTATTTTCTCAATAATAAAAGCCCAGGTCTCCAATAATGACCCGGGTGAGGGTGGTTTGAAATAATAAGAGCACAGTCTCAATAGTAGCGCGGGTCACGAGTATGCAACAAGTATATTATTGACTGCATATAAAACAGCAGTACAACATGCCAAGAACATATTTTGTAAGGAGGTTTTCGGTCTACTGCTTCCTTCCTGGCGCCAATGCTATTGTGAAACATCTGTTTTGACAATATTCCTGAGTTTAGGGCTGAAAAATCAGTCATGATAATTATGGTCAGTTTATGCCTGTACAGACTAGATGGAGTTGGCTTGATAGTTCACAATTGAAAAAATAAGAGCCCAGTCTCCAATAAAAGCCTAGTCTCTAGTAATAGTGCGGGCCGGGTAGAGCTGTCACTGAAAAAATAAGAACCCCGGGCTCTTATTGAGAGAGAAATAAACCCAAAAAGTGTGAAGTGCGGTGCAACAAAAAAACAGGCTCAACTCGGGGGCCCGTATTTGACGACTCCTTGGTAGTCATGGCCCAAATTAAATTTGGGCCATTTATTTGCAAATTATTATTTGCAAATTATTTGCTACATCGATATTTTGCCGCACAATTTTGCCACACGTTTTTCGATATTCTGCTTGGCATTTCCTTTCTCCGTCGGTATTTTGCTTTGGTTTTGCTCGAGATGAAATGAGTTTTAGGGAAAACTCAGCGATAATTGTCGCTGATGACGACGATATTTTAGATTGAGCTCCTGCTGCTGCTCAACTTTCCACTGAAATGTAGCCATGAGTCTGTTTTTTACAACGTTTGTGCTTGTTTTCAACCTTGGTGACTGATTGTGTTGGGGAAGTCCCTAAGAAGCCTTGGATTTTTCGAAAAGCCCACCAAAACTCGATATTTTGCTCAAAACTTGCCGGAAACTTGCGCATCTGATATTTTGCTCAAAGAATTGCTAGCAAATTTGGCATTTTGGGCTATGACTACTCCCAAGAGTACATAAACCAATTTTTTTTTTATGTACTCTTGCTACTCCGCGATCCGATCCTTGAGGCTTGAGCTTGGCCTGCTTCGACTCATGCGAATCCGGAATTCTGGCTTCATCCGCCACGTGCACAATATTGCAGATGATTATAGCAAGAGAAGTGGGGGGTTATGGACTCTTGATTATAGACATACGATATTGACCTACCGTACACGCTTGCACTTCTTGTACGGCGCTGGTGCCCAAATTAGTTCCCTGGTCACATTGTGCGCCAGTTGAAAGTCAAAATATGTCCAAAAACATCAAGCCTTGACCTGTTGACTGAACCGCTGTCATGACATGGATTTGTACAGAAGCTTGTGCTTAGCGGTACGGGGTGCACGTGTCGATTTGGCACAAAGAGCCTGTGAAGTATATGATCGATTATCGTTGAGTGATGCAATGAGCCCTGCCGGACCTCACTTCACCAGTTTACGGCTTGTGTTTCCAGTTCATGGTGTGAGAGTGACGGTTCATGCTGCCTACTTGTTTTACACAAGTCTTTATACACTTACACACGGCATTGTAAGCAACTGTTACTAGTACTTGAGCGTTTAGTTTATTATCTAGGAATTACTAGTATTTCTTTTGTCTGGGGACGTCTTGCTTTGCGTGCTCTCGCCGTGCTTGCAATCAGCTTCTTTCAATTCAGAATTTTGACATCGTACGGTAAGGTGTATTTTCCTCCATAGTACACTGTCATTGAATGATTGTACTTCCAATGTCCTCATGTTCAGCAAACGCTTGTTTGTGCTACTGAGAATAGGAGGGACAATTATTATGTTATCTCTAGACATTTCCTTTTCGGAGGAAAGGAAAGATTAGTGCCGTTTTGCTTTTATGTGTCGTGCTGCGACTTGATTCTGGTTGAAGGCGGCTGTCGAAGCTTCTTTCTTGTACGGTAACGTTAGAATTGATTGTAGACTTCTACTTGAAGGAGTAGTGCATGCTGTGGGAAGAAAGAGAGAGAGAATTATAAAAATTGGCTTCACCGTACTTATCGTTTCCTCAGGACTGGTGACCCACTATTCGTGACCTGCTATTCTCATCTACCACTATGAATCATCTAAACATGTCTGGTAAGTCGTGGAATTCATTTGTCCATTTGTCTACGGGATGCACCATTTCCCTACACACTCGGCGTACTGTCCAAAGCAATGCCATCAAGAGAGAAGATAGGTTATGCAGATATTTTGAACGCTTGGTAATTGTTTGTTGCCGTTTTTTGCTCCTTCCGACGATATCGAAACCTGTATTCCACGAAGTACCCAGTACTGACTTGCTGAATACACAAATAATCAAAATACGAACCCAATGTTACCGTACTTTGTGAGCAATTAAAAGTTTTTCCCCCAGGACTGTGTTGAATTTTTAAGCGCGGGGTAGAGGTCTTCAGGTACTGCAGGGGTTCTTTCTTTAGATAAGTGTCTACCTCGTGGGCGCACTTTGCCCTACCAGTCTTGACAAGAAAAGTGACAGGAAATCACAATGAATTTTTCATTGCTGACCCCCAATGAATGTACTAGCTAACATATTTTCAGTGACTTTCATCAAGTTATAGCCTTACCAGGTATTTGTGACCATTCGTTTCATATCTGGTTTCATGTGCATTGACCTTGGTCTGATTAACAAAATTTAATTTGGTGGGCGTTTTGAATAGAACACTGAGCATCCCATTGGCCTCGAATACATGTAAGTTCCACGCATATCAAGATTTTGTGTAAAGATCAATGTTTACTATCTGTCCGGGTATAATTTCTGATCTGTTTTTATACTCTGTTCCCTTGATTTTAAATTATATAGATGGTCACCATCACCCGATGGTGATCAACCCACATCAACTGCAGCCAGTTCGCATGCCGGTGCGTATGGTCTGCATGATGCCAAGTCACACCCCAGCACCTGCCTCTGGACAGCCATCCATGCAGCCCCATGTGATGCACCCATGCCCGCAGCCGATGCTGACGTCAACTGCAATGTATTCGCCCTGGGCACACCCTGCAAGTAGACCACCAATGCCAATGTATACTGGTTATGTCATTACTAATCAAGTCCAGCCACAATATGCAACCGCTCCTCGGGTAGCCAGGGTGCAGCAAGTTCCAATGCACGCATCCATCCCTGAACAGGCTACATCACCTCAGGGCAGTGATTCAAGTCGGAGGAGCAGTAGCAGCAGCAGCAGCAGCAGCAGCCGCTCGAGCACACAAGCAGTTTGTGCTCGTGTCATTCCATACAATGTGTATTCTGAGGCAAGAGCTTCTGCTGCAAGAGTAAATAGTGATGACGTAGGTTCTGTTTCAGAGCAGCAATTGCAACAGCAGCAGCATCAACACGCCCACCAAATGCAGCACAACCAGCAACAACAGCTTCAAAGGCAACACCAACTACACCAGCAGCACCAGCACCAGCACCAGCAGCAGTATTCACATATCTTACAGAACCCGCCGCAACCGTCCGAACCTGACTTGTTTGCACAGGAATCACTTTCACCCAGCATTGAAAGGCGAAGCGAAGCATCGTCACAAAGTAGCTTAAGAAAAGGTAGGCACCTTTGTCCTGATATAGCCAACAGCAGATCTTCTGGTTTTGCTCTCGGTGTGTAACTACACTTGCTTAATTTCATTGGCTTACATGTTGGTGGTTAGGGGTGCGCGGATTATGCCCGTACGCACCCGATTTTATGCTTTTGGGCATTTCCCGCAGAAATTCGAAAGTATTCTCCAAAAACATCGAAAGAATTCTCCAGGATTCCCCCAATCCATCCAACAAACCAGCACGAATCGTGCCTTGCGCATGCGCTTTAGTATGCTAGATGGACGGGCAGGCACGTGATCACTGATTTGCACCATTGCTGCATGCAGGATCTACAGATCTACACAGTTACAGCTGTACTCAGGCTGTACTGTTCATCAAATTCACATGTACGTGCGTCCATGGATGCGTGCTCGTTCTCTGGTAGGTCAAAATTGTCAGAATCCCCCTAAATTTTTCTGAAGGGTAATGGATCTGGCAAAAAATCATAGAATTCCCCTCCTAAAATTTTTTCTTAACAATAGTGCAGTGAAACCTGTCTAAGGCGACCCCTCAAGGGACGAGAAAACGTGGTCGCCGTGGCCAAGTGGTCTTCTTATCCAGGTTCAGTGGGTCATGTGACCATATCCACATGTGATACATCATTTTGATCAGTGTAACAGTTACTGTAGAGGCAGAAAATTTCGTCGGTCAATAATTTCGTCCAAAGAAAAGGAGTTCGTCCGGTTGACAATTTCGTCCATGGACCATAAGAGTGTATAGAAAAGCTGGACAAATCGATATTCGTCCTACATTTAATTTAGTCCAAAAGCTCCTTGGACGAAAAAGACGAAATTAAATTCCAGACGAATATTTCTGCTTATACAGTATCACAGTGTACACACCTATGTTACTCTAGCACCACTCATGCGCCTGGGGTCCTCAGACCTGTCAAGTGTTGTGCATGCACCATGCACATCTACACTTCCTGCACTGATGTGTAGATCTACCATGCATGGTGCACCATGCAATGCATACATTTACATGTACTAGCACTGTGCAACGCGGTCGCGGGCGGGTGGTCGTCAGTCGCGTTGAGCGAGTGGTCGCCTTATCCGAGCTGTTTTGAATGTGAATGCGTCCGTGGCAAGGAAATGTGGTCGCAATGGTCGAGTGGTCGCCATATCCGAGTGGTCGCCATTACAGGTTTTACTGTATTCCCAAATTGTTCTGGGATTAATCCACACACACCTATTGGTGGTACATGTCTCATCTTGATGAATTGTTGCCTTCACAACTGCATCTCACCAGCTAGTATGTGTTGCCTATCTGTTAGTGTGGCTGACTGTATTTCTGTGTGTGTATATGTGTGTGCACGTGAGTGTGTGTGTGTGTGTGTGTGCGCACATGTATGTATGTGTGTGTACACGCAAACACATGATGTGGTGTGTGTAAGTAAGTGTGTATGTGTGTGAGTGTGTGCGCGCGTGTGTGTGTGTGTGTGTGTGTGTGTGTGTGTGTGTGTGTGTGCACCTGTCTAATTGCTTTCAGTCACACAATCAGGAGCAATTTCAACACATGCTGTCTCGACTGTGACATCAGCGACTACCACTGAAATAAGCAGTGCTGAGACTGCTCGCCAAGGCAGTCATGCAAGGTGAGTGCTTGTACTTTGTAGACCAGTCCTGCACAATTGTGTGCAGTAGGAGGCCCTATGCTGGACATTGTCTGAGTTGTTCACACTTGATTGGCAATGATATGGTCTTTGGTGCTGCTTGATAGAATCTGTGCAAGACCAAAGCATGTAAGTGTGAATTTGCCTGAGATTGGTTCTGTGCTTGCCATGCCAACGAACCAAGCTGGGTGTAAATTTCTGTACATGTAACTAATTGTTATCCCATTGGCAATGGGCACTTTATGAAGACAGTTTCGTTCATGTTGTGTGTATGCAGCAAAGACAGTTCGGGCACTCGCGTGTCCCACCATCACCCATTTCAGGCGAAGAAGCATGTGAAAAAGTAAGTACCCCCACGCGTGTATGGCATTTTTACTTTTGTCAACTTGTGCTACTGCTGCTGCTGATGATAATGATGATGGTGATGGTGGTCTTCTCTACAGTGCTGTGTTCTAGTTTATCCCTGTCAGTGATGCTGTTGCAGTCAGCCTTTGCTGGTACATATATGAGCATTTATAGTAACATGTGTGTATCTGTCTGTCTGTCTGCCTGTCTGTGTGTGCGTGTGCATGCGTGTCTGTGTGTGTCTGTGTGATTATTTCATTTTAGGATGAATGTTGCCTCTGCTAAATCCTTGACCAAACCACCTGGAAGAAAGAAGATGAAGCCCGTTGCTGCCAGTTCATCAGCAGCAACATCGAAGTCCTCAACAGCAGCCTCAAAGAGCTCCTCTTCAGTTGCCCTTCACCGCAAGAAGGCTTTGGCTGTGTCTAGGAAGCACAAGCGCCTCAGGTTAGTCATGGGGAAATGTTTGCGTAGTCCATGGCGGGGGTTCTGCTTTGAGAAAGGTTGTTACGCCAGGGCAAAGCGAATGGTGTTGCACGACTACAAGTAGTAGTCTGACATAAATAATTACTTGTGTTGCTCCTGCATGTGTCCCTGCATGTGTCATTTTTGAATGCACGTTTATTGGACAGGTTTGTCATTTGCCTGTCACTTGTCAGATGTAGTGGACATCTCGTGGTTGGTGGATGACTTTCCCTGTTCCTAGCCATGGCACCTAGATCAAATGCCATATGCTGTCTAAATCGGACTGTCCACCATCTTGATGAGCTGACTTGGCATTATTTTTAAAGACCGCTATCGTGTGTCCTAGAGTATTCTTGTTTGCGAAAAAAAATTCAATGTGCATGTGCGTGCGTGCGTTCAATTCCCGACGATTATGGTCGTACACGTCTTTCTTCTCTTTCTCATTCTCCTAGCTCTTCTTTCATTCTCCTGGGTAGTTACCAACAGCCAGTGTATGCCGGAGTATGTGGTGTGGCATGTGTGTGTCAAAAAAAGAATGAAAAAAAAATGAAAAATAAGGATACACTGGCCAGAAAGAGCCACTTCAATAAGCTGTGTGGTGGATACCAGGCTAACATTAGTGGCGGTCCATTCATCAGCCTCGCAAGCTGTTGAATGGTGTAATCCTAGCACAAGTTGCAAAGTCTAACATAGCTGTTCGCTATCATCGCTTCCGCGATGGGCATGTCTGAGTCTGAGTGCGTGCATGTACTCCAATATAATTGGGAGGATTGACTTAATGTTCGATAACTGTGCTCGTGTCACAGGCAATCGTGGCATTCGCCTCTAGTGAAATAGGAAGGACACGTCAGAACTGCACATTTTAAATTTGGCACAGTGGGAAGCAGAGAAGGGATTCACCGAACTGCTGGACAACTGTAACTTCATCACCAAGTATATTCTTTGGCTTTGCCTAATGGTAAAGTATTACTGGTGATTGAAAGGCGAGCGTGCGTGCTTCTGCTCTACAGTACTGTTGGGCGCCGAAGAACGACCAGGCTAGAATTTCACGGTGCTACTTCACTCTTTTCCAAATGGCACACACTCTTCTAACTCCTCATTTCTCTCCGGGTATTCTGTCACGTTTAGATCGCACAAGAAACCCAAGGACGCGCCGTTGATATGCACCGGCAAGAGGAAGCGCACGCCAACAGAGAAGAAAGAGGCAGCGGGTAAGTACACGAGTGTGTCTGCTTGGCTCTGTTGCTTCATGTGCTCATGCTGCCACCGCCTGTAGCCATGCGCCCACTGTCCTATCTCATTCCAAGTTGCCTAGCCGTGTTCGTTTGACTTATGTCTTTTCATAGTCGTGTTGTACACGGCAGCCACTGTAGGTTACACCATGGGTTGGCAACCGATTTGACTGTACATGTACTACAAGCTTGATGTATGCATGCTTTCTCTTATTTTCTATAGATACGGAGAAAATGATAAAGAGTGCTATGCGTATTACTGCTGCTACTACTACTACTACTACTACTACTACTACTACTATTACTACTACTACGCAGCCAGTTGAAAAGCCCAAGAAAGCACTCAAGCCAGCACCTGCTGCAGCACCACGGGCACTTTCAAAGAAGCCAGTAGCGCAGTCCGCAGCGTCGCTGCCATTCAATGCGAAGAAAGTAGACAGCGTTGCAAGCAGTCGGAGAGTTTCCCGTGACAGTAAAGAACCAGCAGAATCAGCAGCCGAGGATGACGTTGTCGGTGGAGAGTAAGTTTGAGCACCACATCGTTCTTGTTTTTTTGCAGGCTAGACTGGTCCAATCTGACCATTGAAGCCTGGCTGGCTACCATGTCATCTACGTAATACTGTTTCAGGCACACTCTGAGAGGAGAAACGGAGTAGAGGTCACTGTACATGTGTCCTGTATTTCCGCCAGGACTGGAAGTCTATACTCTAGTACCTGCTATGCTTGCTTATGCTTGAATCTTTTGTACTCTTGTACTGTGTTCAGCTGTCCTGTTCCAGGTTGTCAAGGACTAGGCCATGCGCGAATTGGATTCTCCACACATAGAAGGTCAGCTACTGTGCAGTCAATTCAAATTCCAGATTGAAATCAGTGGGACTGGGAATCTTTCATGCATATTATTCCCCGTGCATCCTTTGGGAACTGCAGACTTCTGCATGCTGGATGAAGTAGTCTTGGTCCGAGGAGGCTTGAGATACAGTGTTCGTGAGATGTTCATAATTTTGTGCGCTTCATATTTCTGAGCCTGTGGCATCACCGTGACCACCCCCACAGATGCTGTGGAGGTGTATAAAGATGAAAGTTTCAGAATGTGTTGTCCTTGCACTGGGTCGCATGGTTTTGGTTTGAAGATGCCGGGATTCCTCTTTCCCCGGCGAAAGCGCTCCGAAGTCCATGATTTTGCACTGAAAGTGATCATTTGGATTTCCTGGATGTGCAACTAGTATGTCTAGGGAATATCTGGTGAATGGTGCACCACGTAGCGTCCTCAGATCAAGACCATTCAACTCAGCACCAGGAAGGATGCATGTTCTGAGGTTTTTGATCGGATCCTGAAGTTTCCCCATCAGTGGCTGGACTGACAATTTCCCTTGTTGCTACTTGGGTTAACACTTGTATTCTGTTGTTGTTGTTGTTGTTGTTGCTGTTGTTGTTGTTGTTGTTGTTGTTGTTGTTGTTGTTGTTGTTGTTGTTGCTGTTGCTGTTGCTGTTGTTGTTGTTGTTGTTGTTGTTGATTGTGTAGTGTATCCGGCTGTCCCATTGCACGAGCATGGAGCACAATACATGAGTCAGGTAAGTGTGACCTGGCAAGGACATTAGAGGAATGCGAGCTACTAGAATCGCAAGGAAACGCTAGGATATGGAATCATGCAACAGCTATTTCAAAGAACCAGTCCTCTATATGCCTTTTCATTGCTAGCAATTGGAGGAGGCATCAATTTTGTTAACACGGCGCTTGCATGGATATGTGCGTTGTCACCACCGTCGTACAGCTTTGATCGTCACCTGTTTCTTTCCTTGCTGCTGTTTCATACCCCTCTGGTATCGAATAGCGCATGGAACTCGGAGTTGTGACTAACCGCCCTGCCCATTGTTGTGCAGATTGGCATGCACAAACACCATTGTAGCTTACTGTGCTCTAGGAGCATGTCGGTGTATGTCCATGTTGAAACTACAGGTGTGATATGTGAAATCCGACAGCAGACAGTGTGCAGCCCTGCATGTGTTACATACAGCTTTAAACGGTCTACTCACCATGCAATGTGTACCACCTGAAGTGCTCATGAACATGAATTGGGGACTGGATCAGAGTGGATGTTTACACTCCTTATGTCAAGTTATGTGTCCCCGGGCCTATCGATCTATCAAGTATCGACTTGTTTAGGATACAGCTTTGTCATACGCATTCCGTTCAGCGCATTATATCATTGTAGAAGTCCATTGGTGGTGCTGTCGGACTTCACATTCCACAGCTGTAGTTATGTGCTGAGTAGAGTTCTTATTATGTTCGCTCTCAACCCCGCCCTCCTTGTAGAAATCAAGCGGACTTTGAAGCACATGAAAGCCGTTGAACGGTTGCGATTGGAGATTGCTGAAGAAGACCGGCTCATGTCGGTTCTACTGCCGTTCAAGGAAGCGCTGGAACGGACTTCAGCCGAGCTGGCATCGCGTGAAGAAAACAGTTGTGACGACACAGAGGACTGTGGAAGTCCACACCATCCAGCAGAGACTGATGGTGACGGCACTCCTCGTCCACACATCAATAGTGTCACCGCTACTCCACGTTCCAAGGCAGAACACTCCGACACCGCTGCTGCTACTTCCGGCACTACCACTCCAAAAGCTTGTGCTGCTGAGAGCAGTAGTAGTGCAAGTACTCCGCAGGCCTATCACCCTGTCTTTCCAAGCACGTCTACAACTTCAGGTGCGTTCTCACCAGCTAGGAGATTGTCCGATAGCAATTATAGATTGAGTCAGCAGGCTATTAGTGGTAAATTTGACAGCAGTGCAATGTCACAGTCCTCGACGGTCTACTCGCCAGAGGTGCCCAGTGCCGTCACCTTGTCAGCCCAGCACAGTCCCTCGTCACAGTCCGCCATGTCAACGCCATCTGGTAGAGTCTTTCCGGCAGTTTGCGGCAGTTCGCCAGTACAAACGACAACTGTTATGCCGCTGCACACGCTTTCAACTTTGGCCACCGAGTCTGTCTTTTCCTAGCTCAAGTTTGATCACAGCTCTCGCAAACAGGGACAGTGATCTCTTGCGAGGAACCTGGGATATTGTTTTCGACGTCTTATGGAATTAGTTTAGATTTTACTTTGTAGTCTGCAGTGTTATAGAACTAGTCTGTCGTAGTGGCAGCATGGATGTTATGTGTCATAGTGGCAGCATGGATGTTAAAGCATATACATATTTAGGTCATTGGGTTTCCTGCCCGGATTTCCGTAGGGTGATCACGACAGTTCCAAATAAGCATTATTATTATTATCATTGATTCATATTCACTCTACTATATCAATTGTTGCACCTAACATTCGAGCTTGCCGACTTGAGCCCTACTCAGTTATACTTTATAAATATTATCATTTACCTCTTGCCCATTTACCATGATGATTAACTGTTACTTGATTTGCTCCACTCATGCATCAGTTGAGATATTTTCCACATGGTCAAACCAGCACATGAAATTCATTAGTTCCAATTTTCTCTTTTGTCGTCTTCATTCCGTATCAAGTAATAATATATGTGCATGGCTACATGCCATACTGGATCAACATTATCGTAGTCTTTGTTTGGGGTGCCGAGACGCCGAGACGCTCCATTCTTCCTTTATTCCCAATCGAACTCGCGCACTTCCGCCAAAACTGGGTTTTTGTATGCAAAATGTCACAAAAAGCGCCATTTCTTTCTTACCACCTTCGAAACATCGATGCTTTCTTTGGCACTTTAGATAGTCAAAGTCCACACAGAATATTTGAATCTAAATCCACTTGTTCACCTTTCCTGCTGGGCTGTAAGTAATTAGTTTGTAGTACATGTATAGTACTTATATCAGTGCATGCGCTAAGGACTAAAATGTGCTCTGACACAATGTCCTGCCAGTTGCAAAAATGGCCGGACATGTCCGGACATGCAAATTTTCACATCAAATCACACAGTGTTCAGTGTAGAATTAATACCATCGAAATGTTATCACGACGTGAAAAGAGTCCGACCTTGGCTGCTGCTGCGACCCACGCTTTCTCTTGCCAGACGACATCACTAATGACTATGAGACAAAGGATTGACGTGCCTTTTCTTTTTGTAATTTGCAAAAAAGTGCGCGGACACTTTGTCCGGATGTGTACAAAACATCCGGAAACTGACCGTAAACGGTCGGAAATTGTCCTATGTCCGACCGTTATTTCGCGCCCTGTTATATCTTCGTTTTTACAAAACATACTTCGAATATCATTAATTTTCATTTATGACGCCCATGGCTTTATAACTGAGACTTAAAAAAGGTGCGGACATACATGTACGGTATAAAAGCACGGATGACCGCGATTGGCCCATACTGTAAGACATGTATATATAACGAGGAAGCAAATCTAACGTTTTAACGGATGACATTTCTTCGTTTATAATAATAATAAGATCCGTTGAGGCCGTACGTATAGGATATTGACCAAGACGAGGTCTATATTTCCCATATACTGTATAAGCAGAAAAATTCGTCTGGAATTTAATTTCGTCTTTTTCGTCCAAGAAGCTTTTGGACTAAATTAAATGTAGGACAAATATCGGTTTGTCCAGCTTTTCCATACACTCTTATGATCCATGGACGAAATTTTCAACCGGACGAACTCCTTTTCTTTGGATTTGGACGAAATTATTGACCGACGAAATTTTCTGCCTCTACAGTAGACCGAAGTCGAGGTCAATATCCTATTTATCACGATTCCTTTGCCATAACCCCAAAATTTGAACCTTTAGGAGCTATTGTAACCTTTTTAGTATAGCATTTGTACTATAGTGTACATAGGATGTTGCCTATTTGAGTACAAGACTGTAAGAACAACAGAGTTCAGCATCTGCAGCACAGTGGCTGGGTGGTACAAGGGGTTGCTTGAGATTCATACTGTTGTGAGTTCAAATCCTGCTGTTCTCTTCCTTTGTCTTCTTTCTTTCAATTTTTCTTTTTGAAGTGGAGAGAAAAATTCCAAGTCCCTCCAAAGTCGATACAAGCGGTCGATATAAGCGGTCGATATTGCGGCGATATGGGTAATATAGGACCAGTCAAGGATCACGAGAATTAGTGGAAGTCGATATAGAAGAGTGATAAGTATAGATTATAGACCGGTTAGGAGGTCTATACAGGATATATAGACCGAGTAAAAGACCGAGGTCCCCCGAGGTCTTTTACGAGGTCTATATATCCTGTATAGACCAACTATGAGGTCTATAATCTATTTATCGTGTTCTCCACGCAATAGTTTCTCTTCATATACGACATATCCTTGTAATTCTAGTATTATACTATAGCCTATACCGCATTGTACTGCATTGAAAGTCAAGATCATTGTTTAAACTAGGTTCAGCATCGGTAGCACAGTGGATGGGTGGTAAGGAAGAGTGACTGAGATTCACAAGGTTGTGGGTTCAAATCCCATCTTGTGTATTTCTGCTTTCTTCAAAAATTTCTTTTTCTAAGTTGGAGAGAAAATTTCTAAGTCCAAGAAGTTCTAAGGAGTCAAATATAAGTAGTCAAATATATCGCGTATTTGACTAAGCAGTCAAATACGCGATATATTTGACCGCTTAGGTATCAGGGAAATTAGTGGGGTCAAATACTAAGAAGGCGATAATGCTTCATATATGTTGTGTGTGGATATGGCAGAATACTGCAAGAGTTAACATATCTTCTCGTTAACCTATGAATTTTGGACAATCGTTAAATTTGCGACTCGGTATAATAACATGTCTTACAGTATGTTATTGTCTTTCGGACGCCGAGTCAACTGGTTTTGGTCCGAGAAAGCTGCAATGCAGCATTCGGCCCGTATTCCCAATCGAACATGGTTGAATAAACGGTCACATGCTCATACGTGCACAAGTACAAGTCACCTGGTCACCGTGCCTGCAGGCTACAACTTTCACACCAAGGTTCATGTCGAGTTCAACTCGAGTGACAGGAATGCACCCAAATAGGCTGTAAGTAGTACGACCCAGCAGGCGACTTGTGCACACATGAGCACGCGACCGCTAATTCAATTACGTTTGATTGGGAATACGGGCCGAACACTGCCTTCCTTGGACCAAAACCAGTCGACTCAGCATCCGAAAGACAAGTTATGGGCCAATCGCGGTCATCCGTGCTTTTATAAGAACGAAATGGGGCTTTTAGTGACATTGTGCATACAAATCCCCATTTTAGTCACCCAGTTTTGGCGGAAGAGCACGAGTTCGATTGGATTGTCTGCAAAAAGCAAGAAACGAACAACAGAAAATGCGCCCCACGTACATATGCGCGCATGCACGTGTGCCATGCGTGCACACACACACACGCGCGCGCGCACAGCGGCACATACACACACAGCGGCACACACACACACACACACACACACACACACACACACACACCATGACTTGCGCTTGCTCATTGCCAGGGACTATGTCTGTCTGATCCCGGGAGAGATGAGACGTACAAAAGAAATCATAGAAAAATCAGTGTCCCAGCAATGAACCACCCAAAGCTGCATGATGCCCCTAAGCCCCCAATTTCCAAGTCTTAGGCTTGGGATTATAACCCCACGCATGGGCTTAGTGCACCACACTAAGCGGGCAAGGGAAAGGTACAGAAGCATGATTGAAAGCATCAGGGTTATCTATTCCAGGATCCTTCTGCATTAAAAAAATGTCATAGTTCTGGACTGGCAGCAGATGAATGTCGATCCGGCCCGTACCATAAATCCTGTTGGAGTATGTTTCAAAATGTTCGAAAAATTTATGAAATCTGACCTCATGTTTACAGGAAGGCCACGTCCACTGGACAGTGTTTGCAGTGCCATTGTCTCACACCCAATGGGGCAGATTTATTCATTAGGCAGGACTTAATTTGCTGCTACTTACTTGCTACTTACTTGCTACTTACTTGCTACTTACTTGCTACTTACTTGCTACTTACTTGCTACTTACTTGCTACTTACTTGCTACTTACTTGCTACTTACTTGCTACTTACTTGCTACTTACTTGCTACTTACTTGCTACTTACTTGCTACTTACTTGCTACTTACTTGCTACTTACTTGCTACTTACTTGCTACTTACTTGCTACTTACTTGCTACTTACTTGCTACTTACTTGCTACTTACTTGCTACTTACTTGCTACTTACTTGCTACTTACTTGCTACTTACTTGCTACTTACTTGCTACTTACTTGCTACTTACTTGCTACTTACTTGCTACTTACTTGCTACTTACTTGCTACTTACTTGCTACTTACTTGCTACTTACTTGCTACTTACTTGCTACTTACTTGCTACTTACTTGCTACTTACTTGCTACTTACTTGCTACTTACTTGCTACTTACTTGCTACTTACTTGCTACTTACTTGCTACTTACTTGCTACTTACTTGCTACTTACTTGCTACTTACTTGCTACTTACTTGCTACTTACTTGCTACTTACTTGCTACTTACTTGCTACTTACTTGCTACTTACTTGCTACTTACTTGCTACTTACTTGCTACTTACTTGCTACTTACTTGCTACTTACTTGCTACTTACTTGCTACTTACTTGCTACTTACTTGCTACTTACTTGCTACTTACTTGCTACTTACTTGCTACTTACTTGCTACTTACTTGCTACTTACTTGCTACTTACTTGCTACTTACTTGCTACTTACTTGCTACTTACTTGCTACTTACTTGCTACTTACTTGCTACTTACTTGCTACTTACTTGCTACTTACTTGCTACTTACTTGCTACTTACTTGCTACTTACTTGCTACTTACTTGCTACTTACTTGCTACTTACTTGCTACTTACTTGCTACTTACTTGCTACTTACTTGCTACTTACTTGCTACTTACTTGCTACTTACTTGCTACTTACTTGCTACTTACTTGCTACTTACTTGCTACTTACTTGCTACTTACTTGCTACTTACTTGCTACTTACTTGCTACTTACTTGCTACTTACTTGCTACTTACTTGCTACTTACTTGCTACTTACTTGCTACTTACTTGCTACTTACTTGCTACTTACTTGCTACTTACTTGCTACTTACTTGCTACTTACTTGCTACTTACTTGCTACTTACTTGCTACTTACTTGCTACTTACTTGCTACTTACTTGCTACTTACTTGCTACTTACTTGCTACTTACTTGCTACTTACTTGCTACTTACTTGCTACTTACTTGCTACTTACTTGCTACTTACTTGCTACTTACTTGCTACTTACTTGCTACTTACTTGCTACTTACTTGCTACTTACTTGCTACTTACTTGCTACTTACTTGCTACTTACTTGCTACTTACTTGCTACTTACTTGCTACTTACTTGCTACTTACTTGCTACTTACTTGCTACTTACTTGCTACTTACTTGCTACTTACTTGCTACTTACTTGCTACTTACTTGCTACTTACTTGCTACTTACTTGCTACTTACTTGCTACTTACTTGCTACTTACTTGCTACTTACTTGCTACTTACTTGCTACTTACTTGCTACTTACTTGCTACTTACTTGCTACTTACTTGCTACTTACTTGCTACTTACTT